TATTCAATTCGGAGCAGTGAACATAGGTAGATCACTGCTGACATATTGACATATTACTCATGTGTTGCTGCAATTTGAAAAACAATGCTAGAGACGCTAGAGCGGGGAACAAGAACATCTTTTCTCGCATGCTGGTAAGGACATGCGCATGCTCTGTGCCCACCGCTAAAACTACCACACCTCTCCCATTCAGCGCATGCACTTCGTTGCATATTAAAAGGCTGTAGTGCTCGAAGCTCTTGAGTTGCTGCCATGTCAACAAGACTACCCAGCAATGTTTTTTTTTTCTGATGCTTGTACAGAGTTTCCTGTATAAATGCATTAAAGCAGCCCACTGCGGTAACCCAACTATTTAGACAACTTTTTCGACCACACGGTTTACTTTCCGTCCCCTTCTTCGGGACCTCTGACATCTGGATCAGGCCAAGGAGGAGTTCATCGCGATTGGACTTCAACCCGCCAACCAGTGCGCAAAGAAGAGGGCAGGTACGAGGACGTGGACACTTGCGTGTTAGGTGTTGAGGCTAGTCGTTTTGTTGGTCCAATAATCTAAGGACTACCAATCTACCGGGCTGTGTACGTTTTTCCACGATGTGTCAATGTTGGTGCCGGTATCAGGCCGGTATGGTACATGTCGTTCGTTACCTCCAGGCCGGCTCAAAATGATCAAACCTTAGTCAAAACGTTTTCATGAGCCAACACATGGCATGCCGTTTTTTTGTACGTCATCTCTGTTCGTCCTCACAGAACTGGCTGTGCGCTCAGGAGCATGCTTCGGGTCGGCGGTGCAGCGTACGAAAGCCCTTCAGATTCAGGTGGCTCAACATCAACCGGGGAAAAGCGCTGACACCAATGGCATCGTGGAAGAGTATGGCCTTCCGTTCGACATCCAACCGCTGCAGGAGGACCCCACGGCGACAGTGCGCAGAACGCACCCCTTGGGGAGCAATGCCGGGCCTTACTACGGGCCTGACGCCCTGCACGACTGCAACCACGGGGATGACTGCCGCCAAAAGTACGGTGGGATAGACTCATGCGCCCAGCTCTCGGGGGTCAACCTCAACGCGCACGAGCAGAACCATGCGAAGAAGAAAAAGTTTCTGCACATGTTGAATGTCATGAAATTTGACCGCTTTGCGTTCATGGTAACTCTGATCAACGAGACCGAGAATGAGGCAATAAACCGCAAATCGGTGGCAAACATGGTCAAGCGTGTTCGAGGCCATGGCTCGGAACGAGTAGAGATTTGCCAGGCTCAGGTTTGGTTCTGCGGCAGATGCTTCTGCCAGAAGTCTCTAATGCGATCATTCGACCAGTTCGGCCGGGTCCGGCTGACCTTTGTTAAGCCATAGCCATACTTTTGGGGGGGCTCGGATGTTGTTGTACAATGTCTCGGATGCTTTGTGGTACGGTGTCCGCTTGAGCTGAACCGCTTGCGCCATTACGTCATTTCGCCCGGTTCGCAGTGGTGGGTAGAGTTCATTTTTTTTGTAGTCTTTCGGTTGATGGTGTGTCGAGGCTGGTGGTAGGAATATACAGCTCCGCGTTTTGGGGGATAGATACGTTTGGTTTTTCTTGAGGGGAATTCATTTGGTTTCGCTACACGATAGGGTTGCTTCAAGAACTATTTCCGAGCCCACCGACGTTCCGTTTGTCAGCCTTTCACAGCACTTCCAGTACTATCGACTGCTCGCTGTTTTTTGTGTTTCCAAGAGCGCGATGTATCTTTTGCCTTCGAGCCTTGGCTTGAAAGATGCGTATCCAAGGACAACCAGACCTGTTCCCAAATGTGAAAGTAACGAATTGTCGAAGAACCGTTTTTGATCCTATATCGAAAACAAGGCAGACCTACCTACCATTGGGTTCGGCTCATTGCGTTCCATCCGGATGAGGGTAGAAATTATTTTGTGTTCTGTCCAAGAAAGTTGTCTGGTGCCCACTTGCCCACTTGGCAATAATTTTTAGGTTGCGTTTTGGCATTCAATACCATTTCGTCCTGGACTTGTGGTACGTACATGCCGTTTCGAGATACCGTAATGGTCGGAGAGATGGCACCGGGTGCGATCGTTTTTTTAAATGTTCTTCCTTGAGTTTTTATCGCGCCCCGGTGCCATGTCTCCGACCCCGGTTGCGATTAGATCTTTTTGATTACATTTTCAAGGTAGCCCGGTGCGATCTCTCCGACCGGTGCGATCTCCGATGAAATACACACAGGTGTTGTATGAGTGGGAGCATACCGGTAACGGCAACGTAGGCTGGTACGTAACAGCTTTCCATACAGCGAGTGGTGTCGTGTTTGATGCGAGTTTGGCTATAGAGTGACGACAAGAAAGGATGTCGTTTCCATCTGAGGTACTGGTACATACGGCATCAGTTGTCTTCCGCTTTCGTTTCGGTGTTTCTCTACGGATACCAGTACGTACGAAGCAACAATAGCTTCGTGTTTTGTAAGGTGGGGTAGGATGTGGCTTGTACGTTGTGTGTCTGGTTGAGAGTATACGGTTGGCAACTTCCATACCAATTCAAATATGAAATCAACTGGCATCCCGTGTGAACCGCGACCATGCATACGTACATGCAGGGGTGGCGCTCCGCTGACACCATCCCCACATGTATAAGGAACACACATGTACCTCACTCCGGCAGCTGAAAATGAGCTCAATCTTGGGTTTGGCGGTCGGTGTGCGATCTCACTGACCCCGGTGCGTAAATGGATGTAAATCGGGCCGTTCTCGTATTTTTTTGAGCAACCCCGTGCCATCTCCCCGACCGGTGCCACCTCTCAGACCGGTCCTATCTCTCCGACTATTACGGTATATATATATTAAAGCTATGTTGTTTTCTTTCCGCGTTCACCCCTTCTAAACCAAAGCCTAACAAGCAGGCTATCGGCGAGACTATGTCGGCTCCTCTCTCCCCTCCTGCAACTCCCCCTTCAACCAACTTCCCCTTCAACCTACATGAAGTAAGTCTACAAGTAAGTATGCTTAAACAACGTGGCGACGACTCGCTCAAACCTGGTGTATAATACACTCGTATAATATCTCCTCAATATACCCTGCGCAAAAACTTTGGGGTTTTCTCGATAGTTCGACATGGGAAGGTGTTGAATCTAGTATCTGCCATTTGCAACCTACATGGGAGCAGATCATCTGCGATGTTGCCTGTAAATGCAGCAGCCTACCCGCCTGGACCGTACCGTAGGTGACACTAGATACCATACCCTGGACCGATTTTCAAACATCACTTACTCCACGAAGAGAATGCGTGCATGAAACGACTGTTTCAGAAGGCTCTTGACAGAGCGGCTTCAACGCCGCCGTTTCCGGCGCTACCACGCTTCTGCTGTGAAAGAATGGAGCTTGGAAAATCGGTCGAGGGTGTGTGATATCTTGTGTCATACCTTGTTTATAGGTCTAGCCTGAGCCGGAAATGGGTAGGACTTCGACGCCTTATAGGGTGGCTGGGGGGGATTGGGGGAAACATGCTTCTTCAGACGTCGTATGGGTTGTTGTGCAGTGTTGTGCCTGGTTGGACGTTGGCAAGCTATCAATCTGGAAGCAGATGGCAGCGGCAGATCTGGATGCTGATGCGCCTACCTCTAGCGTTGCGGGGCAATCGGTTGTTTCTTTCGTGTACAGCACAGAAAGCGGTTCCGGTCATCTCGAAGCTGTGCAAAGTAGGCCTAGACCTACAGCACCTAGACTCAGCTAGATATTCCACTCGCTCTTCGTACAGCAGCAGTACATGCCCTACCGAACGGCCGGCAGCCCGGTAGCGCGCACATACAAATCGGTGCCCCCGACAACAGTCTACATTGTAGACTAATTGATTGTGCTTTCGGCGGTCCTGACATGTTTTTCTAGCAGCATTCTTCTCCTCCCCTACACACCATGAGTCCCCTGTGCGCGCAGGAACATACTCCACAGAACATACGAGCAGGCGGGCTCTGCAAGCCTGCACAGCTCGGGCTTCAGTATGCAAGCTAGCAGAGCTGAGCTAGCCGAGTACCACCTCCAAACCGTCAAGAACCGCGTGCGCGCGCGCCCAAAAAGCACGGCATGCTTTCCGAACCTTCCGGAAACCCTACCCCCGAACCCCCTAAAGATCCTTTCGCACGATTGGTAATCCGACCTCGGGGGTAGAGCATTATAATAGTCTACAATCGGCTGATACACGCTGGGGGCTGTCCTCTCGTACGTTACTTACATGTAGTCAAACTGCGTTGAGAGCGCCTGCTGCCAGATTTTCTTGCATCAAGGCCTCGAGCGGCGCTCTTCCCCGTGTGTGCCGTTTACACAGGAGGAGGTACACATCGCGGCAGCAGGACCCACCTCTAAAACGATGAGCACGGTGGATGCCGCAGCTTCTGCTGGCGACGAGACAAGAGGTGAAGCAAAGCCAGAGGACAAGAACGCCAACATCAACGCGACAACGGAGGAAGCTGGCGGAGGAGATGAACAACAAGTCGGTGGAGTGCGCCCGCCAGCCGCAGTTGCTGTCTCTGCCGCTAAGGAAGCTTCACAGGAGCTCATCGTCGACGAAGACCATAAGCGCAAAGATGCCGCCGCCGAGGCCGGTCGCCAGCCAAGTGCGACGTTCTCGGACGCAAAGAGCGTAGGCAACAGCAGTAGCAGTCCCATGTTGGCATCGCCGCCGCCGTCGCACTGCATAGGAGCACCACTGCCATCACTATCACTATCATCACCCCCCCGCAGAAATGAAGCGGCGAGCCCGGTGGCGGCGACTGCGTCCGCCGCAGCCGCAGCAGAAGCAGCAGCGGCCACGCTATTGAAGCAACACCAAGAGCAGCGGGCGCCGGGGCTGATGCCGGCGAACAAACGCCGGCTCCGCATCTACCCGACGGGGAGAAACCGCAACAGCAAGTGGGTCACGCGGGAGATTGCCGCTCTCGACTTTCTCACGGGTCTTAAGATGCGCAACGAGGCCGCGATCCTTGCTCAAGGGACAAGCGGCGGCGGCGGCGGTGGCGACTTTGGCGTATCGGCCGACGATGAGAGCTCTCCCTCTCTGCTCGATAGCGGCAGTGGAGTTGGCACGTCGAGGGACAGCAGCCGCCGTGGTGGTGGTGGCTGGGGCTGGGACATGCAGAAAGAGAAAAGCAGCGACGACGACAACAACAACAACGACGAAGCGGCGGCCGAGGTGGCACGCGGCGCCTATCCAGCGGCCGAGGGCAGAGGGGGGACAACAGGGGCTGGTGGAGAGGCGAAAGAAGACAAAGACATCGAGGGACGCCGCAGCACCCCGACGGGCGGCGGAGTTACCTTCGCCGACAACGAGAACAAAAACAACAGCGATGATAGCGACTCGGACAACGGGTGGCTGGACCAACCCTTACCGTCTACCGGTCGAGGTGGAGCCAGCAGCGGCCACGTGTCAGCCCGCCGCTTGAGGGGTGCAACTACCGGCCATGGGGGGATGGGGGCCTCTGCTGGGATCGGAGGGGGCGGAGCCAGGGTGTCTGGTGCCGGGTTTCGGAGGCTGAGAGGGCGTGAGGCGGCGCACGTCCGTCTCCCGGCGAACTTCCGGCACAGCATGCAGGTCCTTCCTGGTCACAGCGCTGCGGTCGTGCGCCAATGGGAGCAAGGCCTCACGCGGCAGGTGCTGGGGTGATGTTGTTGAGACACGTATATGTATACACCGTAGATGCCACAACCCCTCGAGTGATTTTCAAAGCTCGATTTCTCAACAGCAGAGAAACTGGCAGCGCCGAAAATGGCCGTGTTGAAGCCGTCTCTCGACAGGTTCCGAAACCTATCGTTTCATTCATGTACAATATCGTCTTCGTCGCGGAGGGTTCGGGCTTTGAAAATCGGTCTACGGTGCGTGATGTCTTGTGTCACCTACGGTCCTGTAGTGACATCGAGGCCCAGCCGGACTTGGCGAACGGGCCACAATTGGATTCAGCCGAGGGTTCACACGAGAGGACAACCGGAGCTTTTTGTGCGTACTTTTTGGCGTACCGCCGCTTCAATCGCAGGAGCGAGGATTTGAGGCCTGACGGCAGGCGACAGGAAATAAAACATGAAATGATTCCCCCCATCGGACCCACAGGGCCCACAACTTTGTTGAAAGCCGAGCGGTACCGCCTTGCGTACACCGGACGGCAACGGCCACAACTACGCCTGATTCTTAGGGTTAAGGAGAGGCTTCACGATCTTTTTCTTGCCTCTTCCATTCTTGCCTCTTGAATCCGTGCCCAAATCAAACCAGGATCGCTTGTTGGAAGGGCGGCTCTTTTTCTCATGCTCGAAGGGGTACCCCCTCATGGTGTCCTCGGTGATCCACTACAAGCCCCAGGAGGAGCAGGCCAAGAGAGCCAGGCAGAAACGGATCGACGAGCGAGGGGCAGAGGCTTTCCAAATTCCGAAAAGGTGGCAACCTCACCCCGTCTCCCCCCACGCCCCGCTCAGAACACATGATTTGATCAAACCGCCGTCAGAACGAATAGAAGTGAGAACAGTGAAAGAGCTTTTTTTGTTTTTTCTCGAGGGATTCCTGACCCTTCAAGGTCCCGATGCTCTTCGTGTTGCAGAGATTGGCGAGGCTTCAGCTACGCGCATCTGTTGCCGGCTAGCACCGGCGCGCCTGGCGGGGACAGCAGTGTCGGCAGTACCGCAGGCGGCGCTACTGCAGCCATCCTCGGAGGTGGTGGAGGCGGCGTCGAAAGCGAAGGAGAAGGCACCATAGGCGGGGGTAGTGTTAGCGGGGCGGGGGGGATCGGGGACGGAGGAGACGGAGCGGGGAGCGAAAAGATGCCCTATAAGGCAGGATTCCTGGACGACCCGGCGTTAAAGGTCGGCAGGCACCGACACATGACGAAGGGTGACCGAAACACCGGTCCCGTGGTAAGTCTTGCAGGTCTCATCTTCGTTCTTTTTTGTTTTTCGTCATCCCATGTTTTCTGGACAACGGTCTTTCCGCTGTTCGGTAGGCTTGCTGGACGCACCAGTCGGGGCCACACAAAAGGAAGACAACACAGGAGTTTGTTTTCTCCGCGTTCCTTCTGCGGTGCTTGGCTTAATTGTCATCGAGAGGAGGATTCGGCCGTTCCTTTCCCTCGTCCACCGGGAAGTCGAATTTCTTCGCACACGCGGATTTGTGTCATTCCACGCACTTGTTAGGGCATGTTTTGAGAGAAACGAAACTGTCTTGTGGCTGCACCGAGATTCGAGCCCCCGTCTTACACGCCAGACGTTGCGACGTTACCTACCTAACCACCTCAGCCGGTGGATGGGCTTAGAAAACTAGGCTGAAGCCTAGCCCATTGCCATTGTTGGTGGAAAGGCGTGTGTATGGTTGGGAGTCGCCCCGAAGTATTCTCGGTCACCGGGGGGAAGAAATACCTCATTCTGTCTCCATCTTGAGACCTTCAGGGTGCCCGAGGGTGTGTGTTGCTACTCTCATGGTGAAACAGAGCGTGCTCACCTGCCTGCTGCGGCAGTGGGTTTGGCTTTTTCCACGAACCATCCAGATAATTGTTCATAACAGAGAGTTTAGCTTGGTGTCGTGTTTTTCGCGCATTTTCGCCGCGGCCCTTCGTGCCCTCTAGGTGAGCTCAGTTCTGCTGTTCGTGAAGCCTCGGGTTCTGAAGGACGAGCTCAACGCTCGTTTCCGGGAGGAGCACCCTCTGCTCCCACCGTCCCTCACGCTCAGCAAGATTCGCTCCGTCAAGAGGCAGGCTCTGCTCGGTTGCTACCGGGCGGTAAGCTGCAGCTATGAACATAGCGTTAGGGTTAGGATTACGAAGAGGGTTTCGAAGCTAGCGGTGTTCACTACCGAGAAATGTTTGCGAAGGTTTGAAGGCGGCAATCTCGCCTCACCCCGGTATCCAGTACCGAAGTCGGAATAACGGTTGCAGTCGTGTCTCCGATATAAGAGTGTGACAAAGACCCTAGACCCTCTTATATCCGAACCCCCTCTTACACCGAAATAAAGAGGGTACCCAGCTATTCTAGAGTAGGTCGAGTCCGTGACAACCGATTTCTACCCTCTTCTCCCGGAGCCCCCTCTTACAAGACACCCCTTGTATCGGAGCCACGACTGTATGCGAAATCCCGCTTTTGCTTCCCTTCTCTGCGCGCTGGCGCGCCTGCGGCAGGGCATGGAGGTTTCCACCGTGGCTTTGGCCAGCATCTACTTCGAGAGGCTCTGCCTCGCCGGGGTGGTGACCAAGCCCAACCGACGCCTGGCGATGGCGGCGTGCCTGGCGATAGCCTACAAGTTTAACGAGGCCGTGTTGGAGGGGGTGAGCAAGCTACCGGCGCTGTGGGCCTTCATCGATCAAGAGTGGCAGGTGCGCGGTGTACGCTCCAAGCCGTCTGCGTAGGTCGGGCTGATCGATACCGTCGTTGTTGAGCGTTCCATATCCCAGTTTGGACCACGGCATGGACGAAGTGAGACGAGCGTGCCGGCCCTACGGGCTTCGGCAGAGTAGCGATAGTATATATGTGTTCCCCGCCCTATAGAAATGATTGTTTGATGATCAAGAGTAGGCTTGTGCATTAGCAACTGTACTGGTATCCGTGTTTGTGCCCCCTGGTTTTGCATGCATACGTTTCCTTTGCAATGTTCCATGATGTATGTCTGACAGGTAAGCAAGAAACGCGTGCTAGAGGCAGAGTTCGGCGTCCTCGTCCAGCTGTCGTTCGACTTGCACGAAGACCCGAGGGATATCTTCCACCACTTCGTGCTGCTCCTCAAGGTACGAATTTCTTCGCTTCAACCCATGAGTTTTCGCAATCACATCGTGCGTGGCTCGATTCTTCAGCACCGTGTTGCGCGACGGTAGGCATGCGGTCCCCCTCCCATCTGCTTTGAAACATCGGAGGCCGCTCTGTTACAAAAGTAGATCCAGACAAGATCCGTGCTCAACGGGCGCACGATCAACACATGTCAGCAAGGCGAGCGCCGCCCCGCTCCGTCAGCAAACCAGTTTCCCCGTCTGGCTGTGCATCTGCGCACTTTCAGATGGTCGAGTCGAACGCCACCTTGTACCTTGGGGAGGAAATGATGGGCCTCCACCAGGAATCTCTCGAAACCTTCTTCCGAGAAGGCACCAACGAGGACGGCGCCAGAACGGTCAGTGGCGCCGCCGCCACCGCCGCCGCAACCGCCGGCGGGGGGCAGGATTCCCCGGGGGGCGGGCGTCCCGTATCGGACAGCGGCGCGGCAGGCGCGGACGCAGCGGGCCGTCCTCGCGTGCACGATTCGCAGGTGTGTGCTGTAGCTGTGAGTTATAGCTGCTGTGCGCTGTATTTCAACATGAACTGCTCCATCTAGCCCCGACAGGTACGAGGCGGTTGTATAAGCACCGCTCTTTACGTGCGTTCGTGTGATTGCGATAGTACTCGGATCTGTAGACAGGATGACGGTTTCGGGTGTCCCGCACACAGGTAGTGCGGCAAAAGGATGATTGTACGGAGCCCCACACGTCACCTGGCCTGCACCCAGCTCCTTCTCCCAACCCGGTGAATCAATACAAGCTTCAAAGCATCAAGCATCAAAACTCCAGAAAGGATTACGGGCATACCAACTACGGTATCCGAACATCCTTGGCTTCAATAACCACAAACACATCAGATTTTCTTGTCGGTCGAGCCCCCCCCTGTCGTTGTGTGCGACCGTTGTGTTTGCAATCCGCCAGCAGAGGTACCCGTTCTTGGAAACGCCCGCTTGGCTCCAGCGTAGACCCACGAACAGGACTCGCTGGCTCGCCGGCTGGAGAGCAGGCTTTGCGCAGGAGAACGATCCGGGAGCCGGTGCCGGAAAGCAACCCCTCCATGCTCCCGCGCCCGCGGCTGGAGAGGCAGCCGATCGGTGGTCGAAGGCAGCCGCGACCGCGAAGCTGGAAAAGCTGAGGCAGGCTGGGCAGGGGTTGGGGAAGGTGACGAGACAGCGGAGCCAGCGGCTGAACAAGGACGTCAGGAGCGGAGTGTCGTCGTTGCTGGCCCACGGAATCTCTTCCACTCGACGGGGACAGAGGCGTCGACGCATGGAGTCCTGACGAAGCTTTCGGGTGGCCAGTTGTGCCTCCGCGGGGCGGGGCCGGTCATCGATTTTTTAGTAGAACGCAGAAGGGGAACAGGTGTAGCATGAGGGGTTGGATCACTTTAGACATGTGGTTTGATCTTACCGAAGGAAACAAGCGCGCCAAGCAAGATTGCTTTTCGATGAGACGTGGTTTGTTGGAGGGGGGATTGAATTGGACGAGGTATGGGCATGTTACTACTGACATACACGTGCCAGTGGAAAACAGAACATGGCCAGAATGCGGTTATTGAATGCAGCGCTGCTTGCTGAGTGTGATTCCCCGTCGTTCGAGCGGCCTCAGCTAGCGTGCAAAAATGCTTGGACTTGATTTACAGAACGGGCCCGGAGATAAGAAATGTAACAATTGGGTCGAGGCTCAGTTTCTTATTTCATCGCCACTCTCGAGCACAGACAAGTTGTTGTACCTGTGTTTAGTCTAGGATCCACCGCTAAGCTGTGCTACTTACCACTATTCTCTTAGTTTTCGTTAAACTTTGAGCATTTGTTTCTTAACGAAATATTTCTTAAATTTGGAGCTCGTTGATGAGTCGCTGACACAGGGCATATGAAGAAGTTCAAGCAACGACGGGAAAGATGTAGGGGGGAGTGTACTCATCGTGTCGTCCATGCCGTCGTCGTTAGACCATTGACCTCGCATCCGTACAAAGCCGGGACGGAGCACGCCGGTTTCTCACCGGACCAGGCCGTCACGTTACCAAGCGCGAAGCACCGTGAAGTATTCGCCGAGTCGCATGAGGGGTGCGCTCCGTCCTGCTAAGTGTGGTCGACATGTTGTGCTTACTTCCTTGCGTACGGATGGCAGCTGCGTATGATTTGTATTATATTTTGGTGTTTTAATTTTCAGAGACCGTTAAAAGCACTGTGTAACTGCCTCGAGGGTGCTCTTGACCATTTTAACACGACGTGGTGCGATCATCTCCTTTGCGCGGAGTGAGGGTTCTCGACCCCGCACAACATAATC